CAGACATTTCGACTCTATATTTAACCTTCATTAGCGATTAATAAAATATGCAGTAGTATGGACCCACTTGTTTTCTCTTCCAATGATCCTATGGTGTCATTCAAGTAAAACCAACTTATTACCTCTTGGCAATGTATTATACTTCTTTTATCATGAAGTGAACATTGTTCAATGAGAAACGGGGAAGTAAGATTCGTAAGATGTTTCTTCTCCGAATGTGTGTATCACTATATATTCCTGATATTTTGAAAGAAATTAAGAAATGCTGCGGAAAAACACCTATAATCATGTGGTAAAATGTTTTGGAGAACTAATTTTTGGTACATTTATGCGATGTAATAACATAATTGTTCCGAATAAGAAACAATAAGCTAAGACGTTCCAAATTGAATACAAGTAGACCAGAGATTTTATACATAACATATAGATTGGTATAACGTAAACGATAATCGTTTATGTTTATATATATGTATATATAACATGTTGGGAGTATAATCATCTTCAAATTACAAAACTACATGTTTACACTTGAAAGGTTTCTCATCTCACAAAGAGATGCTACAACTTGTAAACTCGATTTCCAAACGAGTCATATCTTGTTCGATAGCCTGTATGTAGAGAATGAAGACCCTAAAGGGATTCGGGTGAATGGGCTTTCGTTTAGAAGAAATTGCGAAGCAAAGTTAGACTGACGGAGCTACGTCATACAAGAGTGAAAAATGTAGAGACACAAGCACCAAGGCGGCGCACAGTGGTCAAAACGGGCGAAAACGTGACCAAAATCCATTTTTTTTAACATTTTTTTTTAATCATTATTATATCATATTTTGTTAATTCTAAGTCTTTTCTAGACTTTTGTAAAGGTGTATTGCAAAATAATTCCATTTATGGGAGTATTTTGCTAATGTTGCTTACGCTTCGCTACTGTTACTCACAATTCGCTACTGCTGCTCGCAATGTGTATTAAGTGTGGAAATCACGCAGACATAACCTTTCGGAGATAATTACTCAATTAGGGTATCCAATATTTTTACAATAATGCATGGTTTGTTCATGCGTATCGAGTGAGTCGGTATCGCCAGACAACACATCTTCATACTGCGTCTAAGAATTTGATCGCGATAAATTATTAGCAGATGAATCAAGTATTTTGTATATTGAAAAGGACAATTTTTCGAAAAAGACATTAATCGCAAAATATTATAATTGCAAAAACCAGATAGATAAAAATTTCGCGACACGAGTTAGAAAAACATTGAAACTGAATTCTAACTAAAACGTTAAAGTTTCAATTGAAACTCAGTTCTAACGGAATTTTTTCCGTTGTTGCACGAATAAAAAATTTTTTGATCAATTAAAAAATTAATTACCTTAAATGCAAGCAAAAATTTTGTTGAATTAACCTTATGGATATCTTTAAATAAGATGCAGAGGATATTGTTGACTACAAAAAAAGTTGTTCAATGTTATGAAATTTTTATAAATAAATAATTCAGAAGATTATGGTAGAGGTAATATTTTAAACTTCAACTGAGAATAAAAATACAAATAAAAATAAATTGGTTAAAAAAAGATTGCAGCAAGAATATTTGCTCTTAATTTCGGCAAATTGCCGAAACTCAATTTCTACCAACATCATGCTGCGCTTACAATATTCCGGCGCAGTTTGGCGCAGACAAACTTTTTCTTATTTATTTCTATGTATCATTACATTTTAAGTTCTGCAAAAGTCATAGCACTGGTTCATAACGGGGACTTTGAATCGCAATTCTTAATTAGAGTTATATTTTACACAACAGCACTATTTTCCTTTACTCAGGAAGCGTATATTTATATTAATTGCAACGAAAATTTAATAAACACCAGTATTATTAGAAGCACAAATCATACAACTAAACATCGATGGAAAAGTCTAATGACCTGATGTAGTGGCAACTCTGTGAATGGAATTACAATTGTCATACTGATTATAGCTCCTAAAATCGAATAAGAGACTTGCGGTTTTCATGAACTTCGTGTACTCGTAACTCCCATAAATGAAATTATTTTGCAATATACCTTTACAGAAGTCTAGAAAAGACTTAGAATTAACAAAATATGATATAATAATGATTTTAAAAAAATGTTAAAAAATGGTTTTGGCCACGTTTTCGGCCGCGTTGACCACTGTGCGGCGTAGCCGAGAGACTAAGGCGCCTGCCTGGCGCTTTTTTGCGCCGGCGACGAGCGTTCGAATCCCGTCAACATTTTTTCATATTCTTTTTTTTTCTTACCTTGCACATGCAATTAATGCTTTTACCTTATAATTAATATATTATTCATATTTGTTCCGTTTTTATGCAAATCAGTAGGGAATTATGCAAGTAAGTCCCAGGCCTTTTTAACGTAAAATACAAAATAGAAACATAATTTGCTAAGTTCTTAAAACGGAATATATTTTTCTTACATATCACAAAATTGTATGCATGTCAAAAGATAGAAATATTTTGCAAAATCTATACGTTATAAAATTCTGTTATATCGTCGCAATGTTGAGGATGAAAAGCTATATAAAAACATTCGAAACATAAATATTTTTTGCACCAGGTACATATAATAAAAGAATTATGTTGCTCACAAATGCACTTTTGATTATGAATGTTGCTTGGAAAACATTGTTGATTAACGTTATAAAAAATGTCTCGACTTTCTGCTAAATTGGACGCATACCAAGCATATTGCAACATATATTTGAATTCTGGTGCTGATAATAAGTAGTGAGTAAGCGATTGGATGCGAATCGCATCAGCTCGAGTATTTATTAAAATTATTATAAAGAAAATTCAAAATTGTCCACATTTATTTACAGGCGACGAAAGTATACATTTGAATACTCGAGCTGATGCGTTTCGCATCCAATCGCTTACTCACTACTTATTATCAGCACCAGGATTCAAATATATGCTGTAATATGCTTGGTATGCGTCCAATTTAGCAGAAAACCGAGACATTTTTTATAACGTTAATCAACAATGTTTTCCAAGCAACATTCATAATCAAAAGTGCGTTTGTGAGCAACATGGTTTTTTATTATATATACCTGGTGCAAAAAATATTTATGTTTCGAATGTTTTTATACAGCTTTTTATCCTCAACATTGCGATGATATAACAGAATTTTATAACGCATAGATTTTGCAAAATGTTTCTATCTTGTGATATGCATACAATTTTATGATATGTAAGAAAAATATATTTCGTTTTAAGAACTGCAAATTATGTTTCTATTTTGTATTTTACGTTAAAAAAGCCTGGCACTTACCTGCATAATTCCCTACTGATCTGCATAAAAACGGAACAATATGAATAATATATTAATTATAAGTTAAAAGCATTAATTGCATATACAAGGTAAGAAAAGAAGAATATGAAAAAACGTTGACGGGATTCGAACGCTCGTCGTCGGCGCAAAAAAGTGCTGGGCGGGCGCCTTAGTCTCTCGGTTACGCCGCTTTGGTTCTTGTACCTCTACATTTTCCGTTCTTGTATGACGCAGCTCCGTCAGTTTAATTTTGCTTCGCAATTTCTCCTAAACGAAAGCCCATTCACCCGAATCCCATTAGGGTCTTCATTCTCTACATACAAGCTATCGAACGAGATATGACTCGTTTGGAAATGGAGTTTACAGGTTGTAGCATCTCTTTGTGAGAACGCTGAGAATATGAGAATATGAACTGAATAATATGTATCTTTTAACAATAAAGTATCTGTCTGCAAGTTTATATCGCTTATAGATTGTTTTATGTACAACAGTTTAGATGTCATACGTCTTCTGTAATGTAGTTTACAATCTAGAATTTCCGAATTATCAAAATCAAAATTATGACCACGTTCTATACAATCTACCACGAGTGGTCGTAATTGATTTCCATAATTGATTCCATAATTGAGATGGGTAATTGATTTCTGTAATTAATTCGTTTATGGTTCGTAGTCAGATCCTCAACAATCTGCTTGTTTAATCTGTATAATAAATATTGCAAATTTTGCAGTGTATACGATAAACTACATTTTTCCGTAACAAATTCGGAATCGTATCTTTTTACATTTTAATAATGTCTCTTAGTCCTTGAGATTCATAAAAATCAACATTGATGTTAAGTGTCTTAAAAATAGAAAAATAGGAAGAATTCGGATAAGTTTTTCATATAAGATAAAGAAATATGCTTATATAATTGCTCATTTGCCTTATTGGTGGATATGATCGCACTAATAGTTCCTTTTTAAATAGAATTTTTAATCGGTTTGGAATCATGTTAAAAATGAAATTTAGCGGATAATTATTATTGACCAACAAAGATATCACCATTTCTAAATTAAATACATTATGATTTATTAAAATATATATACAGGATGTCCGATAATTAGCTGCCAACCCGAAGTGTGAAGGTAGATTGGGTTAAAACAAACATAAACAAAAGTTTTATATTGTTTTACAAGATTTGCAATAATTATCGAATTATTAATCACAGAAATCTGACGAATGAGCGCGCGCTGAGATTAATGATTGAAGAAGCGTCACAACTGTTGACGGCGTGCGGCGAGATAAAACAACCATATAACGAATAGTGGCGCGTTGTTCTTTCCTTCACTGCGCACTGGCAACAGTTTCTGGATCGACTGGGCCGCGCTGTGACCTGAGCAGCTGCAACGCTTCTCCAATCATCTATGTCAGCGCGTTCCCACTGCTCAGATTTCTATCATTACTAACTCGATAATTATTGCGAATCTCGCAAAATGGTATGGGACATTTATGTTTGCCTCAACCAATCTACCTTCACATTTCGGGTTGCCAGCTAATTACTGGATATCCTGTATAAATAAAACATATTATGATTTATTAAAATATATATATTTTTAATATTAGTAATTCTTGAAAAATGAATGTATGTTGTTATTTTTTTTCATTCTTTATGTGCATATGAAATTTTATATAACGTAAAATAATTTTTTTTCTGTTAGATGATGAAAGTGACACAGCAACTGAAGATGAAGAAGATGTCCGTGCACGGGAACTCCGAAAACAAGAAGTATGGTTGAAAATGCCACTACGCAACTCCGACACTGATACTGGTTCGGAAACAGAGGTGAAAAATTTTCTAGATCCTATAGATTTCATTACAACTCAAGAATCATTTAATATTCCATATTCTAAAATAACATCACCGAACATAGATACACATTACTGTATGTTTGAAGAGAATAATTACAGAAAATCACTTATATTTTCTAAAACGGCTGTATTGACTTTTGATAATTTAGTTATAAATGTATGCAATCACAGTGAAAAGTTACGGTACAATTTAATCTACTCTAATAGAAATGATATATCTCCTAATGTTATTTCACAAACTTCTGATATAATTCGAGAGGTTGGTTTAATACCTTTCTTAATATCAAATAATGACGATAATGTTTTAAATCGTAATAGATTTTTAGTTTCTTTAACAAATATCGCTAATAATTATTTAACTAAAGAAGATGAAAGTTTTGAAAATATTAAAGATGAAAATATTGTATTAGATTTAAACAGTATTGATAGTGAAAATTTGCAAGCTGAAGTTTTTGATAATAATGTGGTAAATTTCGATTTATCCTCAACTACTATCATTAATACAAATAGTAATAATTTAAAAAATGTAGAAGGTATAATTACAAATTGTCCATTAGCTTTACCTGTAAATAATCTGAAAGTCTTTATAGAGGTTGATCAAAATAATTTAAAACAATTTGGAAAAATTGTATTTACAAATATTTCTTCTTACATTAGAAAAGATAAGGAATCCATAATATCGGATAGCGAAAATAATTTAATTCTTAATAAACTGCCTGATGTGATTATTTCTTTAAGCGAAAGTAATAACTCGTTGTTTTCCTCATCATCAGAGACAGATCAATCGATTGAAATGTTGTATAACGATTCAGTCATCAGCAATAGTATGAACAATTCGATAAAGTTCTTAGAATTTAATTTGCCTATGAATCTTAAGAGAAATAAGTGTGAAGATATAAGTATTATTAACAATGATTTTATTAATGAAATTAGAGATATTGAATTAATCGATGATAAAAATAACGTACACGTGAGTGATATTATTTATAAAGAAATAAACGCACTAGCAATAATATCAGCAGTTACTGTAAACATGCAACAAGAATCAGTATGTCCAACTGTAACAGTAATATCACCTTCTCCAATTCAAGAGAAGCAGTTGGAAGATTCATCTGTGCAAACTCGTAAATTATTGCTATCACAGAACTCACATGTTTCGAGTTTCATTGATTGTAACAATCCATTCGATAGGTTAAAACAAGATTTAAAACAACGAAAGGCAAAAAATAAGGCTATAGAAAACGAGCTTAAGCCATTATCGACTGAATGTGCTCGATTGAAAATAAGTAAATATTTTATAGGGAGTAAAAAGTCAGGTTCGAAAATATGGAATGAGAAAACTAAAGAGATACCTAACATAGAAACAACGAAATTAAATATTAAAACCAAATTCTTCAGTAAGATAAATACTGAAGATATGTTGAAATACTTTAATAATTCCCGTTCTATAGATAAACGTGACAAAAATGAAACTTACAACATACCTAAAACTACTGTCAAACAAAATGACGATCAAAAGTTATCAGAAATCGATATTGAATACATAAGTAATATGAGCGAGAAAGATATTGATGTTATTGATAAAGAGTTTAAACAAGTTGAAGAGCATAACGGGATTTCATGTTTGATGGAAAATAATCAAATGGAATTTCAGTATAATTCGTCGCTTGAAGTATATAGCAGCGAAAAAGAAATAAAACATAAACTCACATGTAATGAAATTAATATAAAATTAAATAGTAACATATTAGAAAGTGATGTAATGAAAGAAGATGTGAATAGAACAAATTTTCAAGATAATTTTTTAGATAATATAAACAGAAATAAACAAGTTATTAAAATAAATAGACCGAATGATAATACAAATAAAGATAAGAAATTTAATCAAAATTTATCGTTTAAAAGTAACATACATCTTAATACAGAATTAACTGTTCTTTTGCCGTTAAATAATAATAAACATAATACTATCAAAAATAATAAGTTGCACAAAAGCGATACGAATTTAAATAAATGTACATCGTGGGTTGATTGTAAAGACATCAGTTATAATTCTAAATCATTATCTGAGTTAAGAAACGTGATAATTGCATCCGATGTGAATGTTACAGATATTGAAAAAATACTGGATGAATCTGATAATATAAAAGACGTAAAGGTTATGAATAATAATTCAACAATTTGTATTAAAGAAATTTCTAAAAAGGGCAGTAAGAAACGTTTGTCTCTTGATATTAATATTTCTCCAAATAGTTATTCAATCGAGAGTTGCAAATCAACGACAAGTTGTTACAAAAAATCCATTTTGCCAGAAATTCCAATTTGGAAAAAAACGGCAGAGAATAGTGTCAAATTTCTAAATCGAAATCAGGATGTTGAAAATACATTGAAACTGCAAAATCCAATTGGTCAAAATGTTTCAGAATTATGTGGTTTGGTTAGTAATAATATTTCTAACATACAAAATCAAGATATCGAGAAATATCCAAAGAATAAAAGTCAGAATATTAATGTAGAAAAATTACACAATCAAAATATTAATAATATTTTGAAAAATCGTAGACAAAATATTTCCAAATCACAAAATCACGATATTAATAATATTTTAAAACAACCAAGCCAATACATTGCAATATTACAGAATCAGCACGACATAAATAATAAAGGCTCTGAAGATGAAATTGTAAGGAATGATAAAGTTACTATAGAAATACAAAATTGGAATAACGTAAATGTATCAGAAATACAGAATCAAAATAAGAATGTACCATCGATTACAAAATCTGATCATCTTTCAAATTGGTATTTGCCAGATAAATCCGATGAATCTTTAAAATTGACATCTAAAAATAACAAATCAAAAAGAGATAGATGCGTTATTTCATGATATTAACACGACACGAGTCACATAATGGTGTGCAAACGTTTTGAATCAATTTTTGTATGAAAAGTAAAATGTAAATGATCTCTTAAATATGCATATAGTGTAGGAAAATTACATTCAATTTATGAAATTTCTTTAATGTAAATCAGGAGAATATCTTTAATAATATAGTTAATAGACAAAGCTATTTCAGAGATGAGTTCCCTAAACATTATTTTTACTAAAATTAAATATACAAAACAAAATTTGAGAATACAATTTCAATTGAATAACTTAGCTCATACAAAAAAATTTTGACGTAAATATTTAAGTTATTTTATGCACATATTTAATTTCAGCTTGTTTAAAAGTGTTAGATCTCTTAATTATATAAATTATAAAAATGATAAGTTTATATAAAAAAAAATAATAATATTTCGTAGCTAATTTTTTTGCTATAATTATAGCAATGCAATTAATTTTATTAGATGAAAAGTTTTATCGTGAGGAATTTTTATTCTACGTGAAATTTTGAGTTATTCATAAAAAAAGATTAGCAAATCAATGCACACGACACAGTGAAACGAGTTCTCTAAACGCGAGCTTATCGTAAATGATTATATCGTGTGGCTCGTATTATTGCTTTGCTCTTAGATGCTATCAGATAGCTACTGTCATTAATATCCGTATTCATAGTCCTTCCTCGAGAAATAAGGATTCCTTATTCTTCATTTGACATTTCATAAACCTCCCTTCACCAAACAAGGAGTCTTACTGGCTCCCTTACCTCGAAGGAAGTCACGAACTTCTTTCAGGAGGAAGTGTTACCTTAAATCTGTTCATTTTCGCTGCACTTTTGAACTAATGCATAAAAGCAATAAGTTACTAATGCAATAAGTTTTTAGCACATGATGCGCAGAATAAACTAAACATAACCTACAACACTTACTTTTGTTCCATTACAATTTACTTGTGATGTCGCGCTTTCAAACTGAAAGTATACAGGGTATATAAAAAGTATCGGAACGGTGAAATATCACAAAAACTAAGCATTTTAGAACAAAATATTTCATATAAAAATTGTAGGGTTTCAAATAATCTATTTACTGACATTATGAGTTTGACCTTAGATGGCGCTGCCGAGGTCAGGACAAGGTCACCTTGCATTTTTTAAATAGGACCTCCCATCTTTTATTACATATTCTTGTAGCTCTTCTTTAGACCTTTTCAAAACACTATAACTTTTTCTACTTTGAGTAAACCGTTTCGAAGTTATCGAGCTTTTTATGATAAGATGTGTAGCCAATCAAAATAAGATCAAAGAAGTATCCAGCCAATCAAGGCAACATCAAAGAAGTATCCGGCCAGCCGAAGCAAGATCAAAGAAATAACCAGCCAAATAAGGCAAGATGATTATAAAGGAAAACCAGCAATTGAAAGAGCGATAAATGTACCAAATGTTCACCAATTGTTCACCATTCATTGTTTGACAATGCGTTAATCGATGCCTGCTGCGATAGGCCTTCCTGTTTTAAGACGATTTTTAACGCTTTCTGTTTCTTCAAACCGCCTTACAGTTCTTTCAATAGTTGATTTCGAAATAGGAGTATTCTCATCTCGAAAAGTTACATTGAAAAGATCTTTTACATCTTGATACGATCTTAATCTATCACCTCAGCCTCTTATCATCAAGACAAATATTCTATCGCGTTCGGTAACGTGTTGTATTTTAATTGATGTAAATTATCGAGATGGAAATTTTGAAACGAATGAATAACTATTAGTAATACTTTAAAATGAACTAAATGGAAAAAATGTACAGAAATAAGCAAAATAAAAATTGAGGAAATCCTTACAAAAGTATTTGAGAATAATGTTAATTTCTAAAAGAAAAAGTAAAGTCCAACGAATAAACTAGGAAATAAAAAGATTTATCCAATAAACAGAAATTTGTATTAATTAGATAACAAAATCGATAATTCAATTGAAGAAAAGAAAATCAGTAAGAAAAATCATTTATCTTTTCCGTATGAAACAACGCGTATCATGTACAAGTAACGTGTTCTACTACAAGTTAAATTCACTGCAATTGATTTGAAATCATTCAAAAG